TAAAAAAAAAATAAAAATAAAATAATTTACCGCTGGAGGAAGAAATAATTTTTTGTCATAAGTTGCCTATTTTTAAAAAAGATATTAATAGCTTATATCAATATTTTTTTAACTTTCAGAACTGTAATAATTATTATGTATATACATACAAAGAATTAAAATATTTAAAGGATACCTAAAAAATTATTGTTGATGTAACTGTTACATAATTTATAATATATGTTCTTATATTGTTATATAATATACATCTAGAGATTTAGAGGCAGAAATTCATATGTATAGAGAGTTTCACCAATATAATAACGTATATTACAAGCATTATTTTTTTCTATGAATTCACCGAATTGACGAATAAATTTGATCCAACTTTTTAATCATTGAAGATAAACCAGTAAAATAATATGTATTCTTGAATACAATTTAATTATTAAAAACCTTCTTCCCCATGCCTTAATCGTAGAACGAAGTAATCGAGAGTTAGCTAGTCAAATACAGTAAAAAATATGAGATAATTTTTTTTCCGAATTAGCCATAGTTGAGGACGGATATATCAGAAACTAAGCGTGGTAGCGAAAAATCGTATTTAGTCAATAATATTGCAAATTTTATCAGCTTTAATTTTGTATACGACGTCTTTGTCGATGCGATGGGTAGTTTTACTGATATAAGCGGAAACCTGTAATAAATATTGCAGTAAACATGAGGCATACATTTTTTTTTCCGAATTAGCGATAGTTGAGGACGGATGTATCAGAAACTAAGCGTGGTAGCGAAAAACCGTATATAATCAATCATATTGCAAATTTCATCAGCTTTAATTTAGAATAGAATGTCTTTGTCAATGTGATGGATAGTTTTCCTGATGTAATCGAAAACCCGAAAAAAAGTGTCATTCTATGCGCATCCTCTCTCCCCCCCCCCCCCCCCCCCACATCTGGCTCACCATCTAGGTATGGGTACTTAGGAGTGAAAATATGAATTAAGAAACTCAAAACAAGAAAAAAAATTCCTATGAAGGTATGTCCGTCAACGTTTCGTTGGAGATATCCACGCCTAAAGATTTTCATTGTTATGAATTATTTACGTATTATTAAGTAAATAAAACTTATTAATTGTTCCAACTACTTTATTAATTAAACGCAAACATTAAATTCATATTAAATGTTTTTTTTTAGTATATTTACTTCCTTACAAGTCCATACAATGGCCTAAAGTCAAAAATTGTGTCCCCGCCATTTCTTCTATAATCATTCTTTAACCATATGTATAGTTTGTTTGACATTTATAATTGCGGATTCCTGAGAAAATATTTAAGGTATGTCATTCATATTATAAATGATCTATACTAATTTGGTATTCGATCTGCTGTAGGTCCCAGGGAAAAAAATCATAAAAAAAAATATTCCGGTAGTTTTTTAATGATTTCCTATTAAAAGAAAGAAAATAGTAGGATGCCGTAAAAGATGTTAGTAAATTAGTTGTAGGTATTCTTAAATTGTTTTCATATAGAGGCGGTTTGGTTGTACATTCACATTGCAGCAAGCATTGAGGCATTAATAATATTTAAACAAAACATAGAAACAGGGTCATAATCATTTGTCATCTGTGGGCCAAATCGCCCCCGTATTTAACCTAAAATTAACTCCGCGTAGCCAGATAGCATCCATCATAAGTGTAATTGTGTCGGCAATTATACAATAATACAGGCGGTACCATTATCAGATCTGGCTAGAGAAAGTCCACTGTCCAGGATGTGAATGTGAGATATACGAGGGAAAGCGATGGCGATATTAATATTGTCTGTATATCGGCCGATATGGACATTCGCCCTGGGCAAGTTGTAAAGGTCGTGTTGAGTGGTAGCCGTTGGTCTTCAACTTACTGGACAAGAATACATTCAGCAGTAGTAAATCATTTGGGTAATATTTACAAGAGGTAAGGCTTAACAGATGTCATTTCTGTTGCAATACACATAAAATTGTCTTACGTTACATTTTACACGTTAAGACTTACAAGGTTACCTTAACCCTTTAGTGTTAGTTATTAATCTCCGTAATGTTAAAAAAGATATCTGTAAACATTACGATTTTCCATGTTTCCTAACCTATCAGAGGTAAGATCTTGCGAAAGTTTTTTTGTTGAAATATTATAAATAACACACACACACAAACAATGGTTTACAGCGAAAGTTAAGAAAGATACACCACGTAGAAAAATGAAAAAAAATACTTCAGTGGTGACAGTAAACAAATAAAACCGAAAACTCATCAACATATGTATTTATAATCTCATTTTAAATATATATAGACCCAATAAAATTGAAATATATAACTGTGATTATTTGAAAAAATTAATAAAAAAAAAACTGTATAATTTTAGCTCACAGTCAAAATGATATATCCCACTTCTTAGTAACTTGTATATACTGTTAATTTAGTTCAATACTTTTTAGGCAAGCCATTCTTCAGTCTGTTTGCAATGGCGTCGACCGATGTTTTGTCGATTCCGGGCTAAGCATTTTCCATTATTCGAGGAGATATATTTTAAAGTCTTCTTTGCTAGAAATTTCGTGTTTTCTAATTCCTGCCTCCAATTTTGCCAAATATTATTATTGTAGTGGCGTCAGAGTTCTGCAAGAACCCAGACCTCCTCCTCTATAAAATCCAATATCTTGTTCTTTTCACCTCATCTTCGAACATCCATCCGTCTCAGATCGTCCGCCGAATCCTCCTCTCATCAGATACCAGGAACTCTACTTCTCTTGCCCTCCGGATTCCTATAACACATCTTCTATGACATTCTTTGATTGAGCATTCTCTCTATACGTCCTGCCCTTATTATTCGGACTCTTTTTACCAAAAACACAATGCCGGGTTCTCCAAACAGTTCCAGCAGCTCCTCATTCCTTCTTCTTCTACGTCCCATATTCTTCTCAACGCCTTTCTCTCCCAGGAGCAGGCATTCTGATATTCTGGCTAAGGCCCATGTTTCATATCCATACATACTATGAGTTTTTAGATAAGAATTTTGATTCTTTTGGGGAGTAAATCTGAATGTATCAGTTAAAATTATTCATATTATAGGTTCACTTTTTCAAAGGCTCTATTACTAAATAAAAAAAAGTCACCTCACAGGTGTAGAATATTATAGCTTCAATGAACCTTTAACAATGGCTATCTCAGTAATCTAAGATTCCTGGTCGTGGTACTTCAGCAATCCTTCTCACATTACCTCCTCAGCCGGGCAGATTCCTTCGCTAAGAACCTGCTCTCGTTATAGTCCGTGTGGTTGAGGAGGATTTCTTTTCCTTATCGAATTCTTAGGATACGATCTAGCTTTACATGTTTATTATTGAATGGTGCAATATTATCGATTGCGTCATTGTCGATCGATTTCTGTCATTGTATATTATTCCACATTAATATTGGGATAACATATGCCATTTAAATCCATTTAACACACTCAAATCTATTTTTCCCTATAAAATATCTTAATTTTCATTAAAGTGTACTCAAATGAAAAAAATTAATTGGGGTGCAAAATAGCAACAATCTATTGAAAAATCTTCACACCAGAAATCGGCACAATTTTTATCAATAAGTAATTTTAAATAATTATTTTTTTTTTTTTTAAAGTTGTATATATTTAACCCGTGTCATGAAGTAAGTTGTGAGAAACTGTTATCTATTTCATAGTAATATGATGCTAAATTCCAATCCAATGCATAACGGTTTCTCAGGTAAGTATAATGGATCATTTAACTCTTGTTATAACATCGTATTGAGATATATACCAGTTGTTTTAATTATTTCGTTTTAACAAAACAAACATTTTTCTCCTAAAGTCTAATCCGAAATCTTCCATGGTCAGCTTATAAATGAAACATCAAGTATGTTGCCCATGTCTGGCACAATTTATGTCACTAGAATTTTAAAAATTATTACTATGTTTGTCATATTAATACAAGTTTTCAAAACAAATAGAGCCTCACTGCTGTGGAATTATCACACTAGTATTAATCCCCCGCTCCGAGAAAAAATTCCGTATTACGTGTAGTTAAGGACAATAAATAATAGTATTACATGTAACTGTTCATGCCATATTTATAAGAAAGATAAATAAATATAAAAAGAAAATAACAAAAAATTAAGTTAAGGTTAGATAAATATCTTTAACAGAGCCATACTCATTTAATATTTACATTCAGCCTTGACTTCGAATTAAGCTTATCCACTTCTTGTAGAAGAAAATCAGGATTCCAGATGATCCTGGTGCTTCTCTATCAATCGCGTCAGAGCTAATGAAGTCATATAAATAGTACTTTGTATTCAACTTGAGTTAAGAGAATGTTCAATTTAAGTTTCTTTTTTTCCTGGCATGTTTATTGAACAATAATAAAATCTGTCACATCGAAGGACCATAAGTGTTCATTAAAAAAAAATATATTTAAAATGAAAATAGATATAATTAGTTTTAAAGAAATTAAATTTCAAAAAATTAAGATAAGAAAAATAAATAAAAATAAAATAATAGTATAATAGATCGATGTTGAGTAAAAACAAAAAAAAATCTGCTTTAACATATTCACACCTCTGTACCGTATTGTTTAATATAGATATTTAAATAATTATATTAAATAACAAATAAAACAAAAATAAATAAGTAATAAAATCATAGATTGAATTCCAAAAATAAAATAATCTTCTTAAAGAAATTCATTAACGAAGTTTAGAAAAGCGAAGTGATTAAAAAAAATCTGTCCAATCTGTAAAATAATCCATGGGAACGAGAACAGTGTTTTATAAAGTTTTAAAAAGGTGACAGGAAATAATGTAGTTTGGATGTGCCTCATTCTTCCTCGATTATCGGTAAATCTGACTGTTTACCAAACAAGCTATCCTAGCTGATCCAAATCCCGCCAAAGAAGCATCAAACCGCCGTCAAACGTCCCCCCAGAGAAGGCAAATTAAACAGGATAATTTTCGAATCAGTTGCAACCGATGAGACGGGAGTTGGGCGGACGGATCTGTCAATGTCTGCCATTGCCTGACGGCTACAACTTGGAACGACCGTCCAAAAAACGGAAGCCGTTGTCGATAATGAACACCGGCCTCTGGCGTGCCTCCCTTCCTGTCGCTCCTCACTCATTCCTCTCTCAATTATTTGATGGAGTTTTTATTCGGTAATGGTTGAACGTGTATTACTCAGTCATTGAGATAAAATCATGTCGTGTAAAGCCTCATCCAGAATTATTTAAATTATTTGATTAATTCTAAATAAACAAAAACATAAATATATTAAAACGTGAGGCACGCCTGGAGCTTATTAAGAAACAAGAAAAACATGATTATAAAAGCAATTTAAATTAGGAAAACTCAAAATTATAAAAAACAATAATCTTTTATTCTTGAATTTTTCAATATAATATTCTTCAGCAATAAAGATAATTATTCTTGTTAATATACGATGAATATTCCTCTTGTTGGTACGACAACCTATATTCTTCCTGGCATAGGGTTGATAAAATTAGAAATCTTTTGGTTTGTATCGGCCAGATCAGGATTATCAGAAACTAACTTTCGGAAGGTAATCAGGAGTTGCAAGAAACAGTGCAGAGGCGATTTACTTAAGGTCATCTTCAACCAAGTGTTCAAGCTCCCGCAGTTTAATTCACCTATATCCATTTTACTGTTAGTAGTAAATTTGCTTAGGAACAAGCAGATTGGTTGAAGAACACGAGTAATGTTTTCAAATAATACCAAATTATTCTTCTCAGATCGCCGGAAAGGTATGGGGAATGTAATTACAGCGTTTTGTACAGTAAAATATCTAGGATATGATGATTTAAAGTAATATGGAGGTATTGTTGTTTTGGTCGGGATCACTTCAGCGAAGACTGATTTGCATGTAAAAAAACAAAAAAACAACGTTATTTACTGACTTCTCAGTGAACAGGACTCCTCATTTAGACAACATCTTGCTCAGTGTTGCATTTACCGTTTGCACCATCTATGTGACGGAATTGATTAGCAACTAAAGTTATTCAACATTTTATTTTTTTCGCTATTACTTAAGGTTTTATGATTTGCTATTATATGTGAATAGTTTTATATGAAATATGATATATATATATATATATATATATATATATATATATATATATCGCCAGAACCATGTCAAAGTGATGAATGTGAATCTGCACAATTTAAACTTTCGATTATAATTATTCGTTACTTCAGCATGATATATCTAACAAAGCTAAACAAGGTGTCGAACGAACGAAAATGAGAATGTGATTTTTCACATTCGTTTCTTTGATGTGGTGCCGACTATATGGATTCTAAAGTTTTGAGCTTTGATCGGGCACTTATTCCCACCCTCCTTTGTGGTTTTGCAATCATCACTAAATAAGAATATAAGTTGACTATGAATCCTATCATAAAATCTTGTTATGTATAATCTGTAAATTGTGTATTTTTTTTTAAATATGGAAAAATACGCTTTTTGTACAGTCTCTTTTTTTTAAAATATTATTTATTCGTAACATGGAGCTTTCGGTGCCTTGCATCCTTTAATCTAAAACATTAACATATTATGTCTCCAAAAATATATCATACAGTATGGTTTTTAATTGTTGCCTATTTCTGATTTGAATTCATCCATTTTGGATGTCGTTCTTTCAAAAATTGTTGTTTCTTTCCAATCATTGGTAAATTGTCAAACCGTTAAAAATGTATATCTATATATATGTGAGTTAGAAAGTGTCATGTAACGAATAAATAGTATTTAAAAAATGAGATCCTACAAAAAGGGTAATCTTTATTTCATGACTTCTAGATCTTTTTTTTTTATATCGAGAAATTGGCCTAAATCATGAAAAGCAATTATTTTGATACACAGTTACCCATACAAGGTTACATGTACCGTATCCATAAATAACCCATCGGAAGAGACCCCCGAGGAGGAAAGTATAAGAAACTGCTGTAAGAGAGGAAGGGCGTAGGACACCGATGCTGACGAGATGGGAGAAGACGTTATGAGGATAGCCGTCACATTGAAGACTTGCCGTCACAGCTTGGAGTCATATCAAAGTTGTCTTGTCCCTGTCAGTCCTTCCAACTTTACTCCCAACCAGTCCCTCCTCGTTACCTCCTCTCCCTTACACCTGTAAACTAATTACATCCATTTTTATCTTCTTTGTCATGTGTTGCTGTATCCCGGAAAACTAAATTTTTCAACTGAGAACCTATTTTTTTAATTATTAATACTCTTGAATCTGATTTTTACTTATCATGATAAAGTTTTTTTTTTCAGCTTTGTTAGTCGAATCGGTTTTTCACAGAGTTCCCACTTTGGGTGAAAAAGTTAGTTTTTTTAAGGGAAATCGACATGAATTTTGGCAAATATACAATTTGTTTTATACTTGGAAGTTTGTATTTCCACAACAAAGAAAATTAAACAGCTTACCAAGAAAAAAAAGAGGAAAAATTCCTTTTTTTTAAGGAAATTCCAAGGTTGAGAGGGGATAACAAGAAAAATAATTTTGACAATCAAAGCCTAAACTGAGTGCAGTTTAATTTAAAAATAAATAAATTTAGTGAAACATAGATTAAACTAGTAGCAACATGTAACATGACGTATTATTTTACACACATACTTGGGCGGCAAAGATTTTCAAGTTCGTTTTGATCCCTGAAAAAAAGGAAAATACGACTGAACAAAAGGGAAATTAAAAAAAAAAAAAAAGGGGGGGACAGTTCGTAACAGTTGTCATCGGTACTGATTTGGAATTTAATGTCGAAGAGCTTCCTTGACCAGGTATGTTCTTGTTTTTATTCATTTTTGTGTAATAACAAAATTAAGAGACGGAGCAGGCTTGTTACTGCGGCAAACGATCTACTTAGTCTGTAATGCCAACAGAAAGAAATAATAAAATAAGCAACAGAAAATGATTATTGAATTATGTTTAGAAATTAAATTTATAATTTCTTTGTTTTCTTAAACGAGCTACAACTCACTAAGATACAGATATTCAATCAACGTCTATAATTTTAAAAAGTACATGGAGTGATGCTGTCTTCGGTTTCTTTTATTTTCTGCCCTGATAATGCTTGAATTAGCGAAATGTTGACATTTTATTCTTTACTTCCATTCTAAAAACAGAAGATTATCGGTTGGATCTATTACAATTATAAGCTCCTTTGTTAACATTTAATGTGCATTGAAAAAAATGAATATTCATAATAAATCTGATCAAACTAATTAAATAGATATGGAATAACATATAAATAGCAATAATGAACAAGCGATTATCATTTAAATAACAGTTGATTGGCGTTTATGGTTCCCAAAATATGGCCTCGAAACGTTAACAACTTTATTTTTAATTAGTCAACAAAAAAATAAAAATATTATCCAATACTTATAAGAATAAGTAAATAAATGTATTGCGAATTACCTATAGATTATTTAAAAATTTGTGCAGAATTAAAAGATTTTGTAATCATAAATATCAAAAATTAAAAATAGCGTAATCTTGATCGCTTTTAGGTTGCAAACTGTGACAGTTTGGAAAATATATAGTTTCTGTCATTTTACGAAAATAAATAATTAAATATAAATAATAATAACAATAATAAAAATAAACAAACAAATGATTATACGTAAACAGACTTTCAAACACTCCCGTATATATACATACATATATATGCTATACACTTTTCGAATTCATTATCTTTTAATATGGAATTATATAGTTATATTTTTTTTACAAAAATACCAAACATTTCTATGTTTTTAGATGTGATCTTCACGTATATCAGTAAAATAATATATGTGTTTGTTTCAGGTGAGTATCCCGTTAAGAAATAACTTGATGAATTGGATGCAATAGGCAAGTATGTTAGACATCATAATGAAGAGAAAATATTTTTTTCAATTACTGCAAGTATTTATGTGTAATTTCAGAATTAATAATAGATTGTTTAAGAATAATATTGTCGGTTTCTTTTGTTTTTGTATTTAGTCAACGTATAAGGTCTCTAAATATTAAATATGACGAAATAAGTTTAGGGTATTATCATTATGACCAAATATTTTTAACTAGTATCTCTAAGGATCGTTCTTCATTATTTTTACATCATGTTTATTCTCATTTTTTTTTATTGTTATTATTAACTGATTTGAATTAGAAAGTAACTTATGATTTCTTTAATTATTTTTTTATTATGACTATTTAATTACTCTATATTTTTGTTTATGTATCTCTGAGGCTCCTTAGCTCACATTTTTGTCTTTCTGTATCATTCCAAAGGGATTCGTCACAGAATAAATAAAGCATTATTATTATTATTATTTAGGAGTGCAGGTGGATACAAAAATAAATAATAAAATTCATATATGAAAAAGGAAACACATTTCATCTATTTGCATTAAAAAACAAATTGTACCTCTTCATTTTTCACTTACTCTATTCAAACGTTTCTTCTGCATGCAAAGTCATAGTGATGTTCCCACTTTACTCCTTCTCCCTCCCCCCCAAAATAATTATTTATAAATAGGCATTAATCAGGTGACTGCAGTCAGACACTATGGACGGCGCTATACGACCAAGGGCCGCAGTAAACTACTCCCAAGGATGCCAGAGTATTTTCGTGGATCGGTTTGCCCCCGTTAAGTTACTAAATAATTACCTGTGATTGGGGGGCCGGGGTCCCGTGGGGCACTAACTCAGGCAGCTTAGTGTTGGAGGATCAAAGGGGCTGAGCTGCCAGTGTCTCCCATCACTCACTTCAAGTCGCAGTTGGTTATGGCCCACTCAACTACTCTACTTTATCCGGCCTATTTTTTCCTTTTTTCTTTTTCGGCCTTTTTATCTTTAAGGAATCTGTCTTATATATAGAATCGCCATATGATACTTACCCCCAGGTTTAAAAATATTTGTGTTACTGTTATGTTTCTATGATTCATATTTAATAAAAAAAAATAAAAAAAAAAAAATGACGGAGTCTGAACGTTTTTTTACTTTTCTCACCGCAAATCTTTTCATTTCCCTCCGCACTTGGTTCAGATTTCCCAGGATTCGAATATAAATATTGTTTCTAAATATACCTGCATAACCGAAGTTCCTGAATAGATATTTTTTCAGCTTGGAAATTCATCAGGAATAAATGAAAGGGTTACGACATAGTGATTCTATGTTGTCACTGAAGTTTTAAACAAAGTTTATGCTTATATTTTGGCCCGATTTCGCTACTTCTATCAGATTAAAAAAATATTTAATAAGCAAAAGGTACAAAATATATAAGTTCCTGTACATTTTTCGTTATCTCTTGTTTTTAATAATAATTAGTGTTGTCCAAATGCGATACAGAGACGAGTCTTGGTATTGCAAACTCAGTTTTGGTCATGGTCTTGGTCTTGCGCAAGAGCCTTGCAGTTACTTATTAGCTTATTACTATGAATAAAAAATTAAAGGAGTAAAATGCAAAAGTATAGTGGTTATACCAATCATTAACGTATATTAACTCAAATTGACGAGTATTAGTAACTATTTTGCCTTAATTTTTATTTAAAAATCGATTTTTTACTAGTCCTAGTCCTGGTCTTGGTCTTGGTCTTGCAAAGTACAAGACCAAGACCGATTTTGGGCAACACTAATAATAATTGTATTTGGTATTGCTTACGAGATGCCTTGCAAAACCTCAATGTATATTTAAACATCCATTCATAAATTTCAATGAAAATTATTTGGTAAACATTGGGTTTAGAATTTTTTTTTATAACAGGAAAATTTTTCATTTGAGTGTTTGAAAAAAAAATTGTTTGTACATCTTATTTTTACGTCATCAAGGAAATTGATTATTTTAAAAATATTAATTAGTAGATTAGTAGAAAACTATTTATTAAACTTTAAAATGTACAATTGGTCATAATTGTCTATAATTTCATTATTCTATGAATACTTTTTTTTTAATAAAACAATCTTAACTATTTATGTATATTCAATAATGAATTGCTAAAATTTGAAGCCCTCCTCAGAATGCTGTCTTCTCCCTGGTCCAGTTACTATATTTGTGTTGAGCCATGTTTTTACTCAGGAGAAATAACACGGGCACTGTTTATATAGGCTGTGAAAACATACATCTTACAATAGATACCTCAGGTAAACTTTATAATTTATTGTCTATCACGACAAGATTTATATACTGGTTGTCTTCGTTCAGAGAAAATGGAGTTTCGGTGATTAAAATAACAATATTCTAGTGGATTCTTGAGAATTATGGGAATAATTTCCATATTTTTTTTTTTTTTTTTTTTTTATAAAATTTAATTATTATCAATATTTGTTTAGCAATTGGATACTTGCAGTGAAAAATATCGCATGAATTTGAACTGAAAAATGATTTAAGTGAGATAATAGCATACTTTTAATAATAATAAAAGTTCATATTTCGTCAAAAAATTGAAATAACAGGATATCTTGAATGTGTGGTGGGGACAGCGTGAGACAACGTAGTGTGACGCATACTTTTGCCAAACACCATGCTGTCAAATCGTCTCCGCTCTATTTTATAAACATCCATTTATAAAAGCTAACAAAATATATTTTTATTGGTGGACGGAATAGGAAGAGAAAAAACTTAAAGATAATACTTGTTGACTATGTTTTGATGCTGGAACACTATTCTAAATAAAAAATTATTAGATCATGACGTTGTCGTGTCTCCAATCTTGTCGCGTAGCGAAGTATCCATGACTTTTCTATCATACAACGCTAATTCTCTTAACAAACATACATCAGAAAATTTTGAAACACTATGCAATTGTATTATTATAACTTAATCTTCAACAAAAAGTAAAATAAAAATTCATGCAACTAGTGCAGTTTAAATTGGAAAGAAAACTAATTTCCCATAGGTAATGTAATAACCCAAATAATGAATAAGAAAAGATGTGTAAAACACCAAAAAATATTTGAATTTTTGACAAATGTTGCCACATCAAAAAAGCAAGGTAAATAACTGTACAATAAATGAAGTAGATTGGTACTGTACAAATAGTTTATTTAAAATGTGCATAGTTTCAGTGAATACAAGGATTGCTCTGATGATGGGAAAATTGTCCCGAAACGTTAGAGATAATAAATGTGATTAAAGGGATTTGAAGGAAATTGGAAGTATTTTTGCCTTAACTATGAACAAATAATTGTTTTTAAATCTTTTTATTAAAAATATTATATAAATAAATTCATCAATAATTGCAATCTAGAACAGTTTCTGGACAATGTCATAAAATCAAATTCATAACAAAACATGAACACTTTTTTAATTGCGATTTAATTTAATAAAAAAAAATCCCAAGTCAACGTAAAAAAAATGTTTTGAAAAATAATTCTTTGTGGTATATTTAATATTGTGTTATTCATTTATAAAATTTTCGTTAGTAAAATTATTGTGTTATTAATATTGTGTGTTATTATTAAGTTTCAAATTATTTGTTATTATTATTTTTGTCAGGCAAATTCCAAATATATGAGAATTTCGACTAGTAAAATTTAAGTTATCCGTTCTCTCATCTCCTATTAATTACCATTAAAATCAAAGATTATACAGATGATTTGTTTTATCTTAAAATTAAGCGATTTTAAAATTATTTTTTTTAATAATATCGCCCGTAAATGAAAGGTTTAGCAATAATATCTTCTAAAGTATTCTCGGTGTCGTGATATTGATAGGATTCACAACACATGTCTATAAGAAGTTCCAACTTGCCAAGTTCTTTGACCAAGATGCCTCCCGTATCAGTTACCGCGGGGGGAGGGAACTGTGACTTCCACTCACCCTGAAGTCGACGGCGAGAGATAAGGCACTCTTAAACTCGCACATGATGGATAGGCGTCGTAAAGCTAGCCTATCGGCAGCCCGGACTGATTTGTGGGCCCAATCGTTTCGTCCTTGGGCTTTCAAAAACACAAAATAATCTACAAGTTTTATGGTTAATTTATATCCACTCAGTGACAGCCGGGGAAGAGATAAAAAACTTCCATTAACATAATTTTAATTTTTAATTCGGATAAATTATGCTCACTCAAACAAAATAGCAATATAAAAAGCAATATATATTACTTCCACCGACAATTGTAATTCCGTCTTAGAGTAATTCCTTTTGCATAGCAGCAGATGAATTAAAGCCAATTATAATTGGGTGTAAAAAAAATGATCGTTTTATCAAATACAAGATTTCGAAAGACTATAAATATTTTAATCCTATTTAATACTTACCAATACTTAATAATACCTTTAGAGCTTTCTCTAAGCTTGTTCAAGAAAGCCATTCGACTTCTTAAAAAAAAAAAAAACAGAGTTTAGTTATTTGTTTCAAAGAAGAAACATGACAGTGTCCTCGTAACCATGACGAAATCTTAATGATTTCATGGCATTACTGGAAAAAGAATTCACAGCCGCTGAAGCAACTCGTAAAATTAATAATTATGAAGGGGAAGGTGTCCTTGACCAACGCACTGCGCGTCGTTGGTTTGAAAAATTTATCAGGAGGGCCATTAATGGATATTGATGAGGTTCTGCCGGAGTGTCCACCAGTACTCGCGAACTTGCTAGGGAGTGTGGTGTGTAGAAACATACTGTTAGTTGCTATCTACTCACCATGGGGAAGATGAAAAAGAGCAGTACCTCACGAACTTACTCCTCAGCAATCAGCTAAGAGGTTAGAAATTTGTGAAAATTTATTGAAAAACCTTTAACCTGAAAAACTCCTGCCTCATCCACTATGTACTCCAGACATCGCATCGTCGGATTACTACTTATTTAGATCCATGGAACATTTTCTTCAAGGGAAAAAATTTAATAATTTTGCGGAAGTTGAAATTAGCGTCCAAGAGTTCTTTGACAGCCATCCCAAAGAATGATATCAGCTTGGGATTGAGCAATTGGCTAGCGGGTGGCTAACGATGGTAGATAACAATGGACTATACTTTGAGTATTAATTGTAATTTACGCCAAAGAAATAATAATATAAATATTTGGTTGAAAAACGGTCATTTCTTTTTCATGCACCTTTTATTATGTACCAAATGCCTGACTACTAAAAAAAATAAAGACTAAATTAATGACTGGTAATTAATGGAATATATACGAAAATGAAGTTTGAGTATGTATTGTTTAATTTCATTCTTAAAACAAATATAAATAAAATATATTTACTGAAGGAAGTCAATCGACATATCATGGTTGATAAATATTCAGGACGCACTCATTATAAAGTTTTTATTGCTGCCGATGTTTATGATTTATATATATATATATATATTATTATAACAATCTCTCCTCATGACTAATGCCCCCTTTTCCCGATCCTCCCAACATGGCGTCATCCCGGCCCCTTGGACGACTGACAAATAAACTTGAGGACGGGGTCTAAAGAGATTTATACAACATAATTCTCCGAGATGGAGGGCTACGTCTGGAATAAGTTCTGCATAAGACGAGATTTATACATACTGGTTTATAGCGCGCGAATAATCTCGGAACCCCTTAAAACATAAAAATATTTCATACTGAAAGAGGCGTCTGGAGGTTTTGGCTACATCGGTTGTACTAAACTAAAAATGACTATTTGCTGGAATTAACGATTCTGTTTTTATTTTAACACAGTTTAAAATTAAATTAAATAGTCCGTGATACAGCAGTGACCACTTTATATGAAATTATTAACATCCGCCTGAAACTTCCTAAATATCTTTATCTCATGGTAACCTACAAATATTTTAGTTACGAAAATCCTCGGCATTGGAGAGTTTCCAATCTGGAGGTCGGCAAATTTTGTCTGTTCAATTAGTACTAATAACTTGCAAATACCCATTTGCTTTTCACTTATATCGTAAGTTAATTTGATCACAAAATAGATAAAAAAGGTGGCCTACAAAAATATTGGGCCGTTTAGCATATATAACCTCGCTATTTTGACAATTTTGGGGTGTAGGACACGCCAAATAGCGCATAATTTAATTACAGAGTGATGTAACCTTCGAATTATACAAGATGAGCATAAGTGAACTAATAAACTTATAGATAGATAAATATTTACCTATCAAATTTATTCTTTGGGCTAGTAACTTTATATTTATTATATGTTAATTTTTGTTGTTCTTGGTCTATCATACTAGCATATCTACGGGGAGGAGTGGCTTTTAGGGTTGAAGCCCCTCTAAAATGGAAAAATATATTTTTTTTATAGGTCCACTAAATGCTTAAACAAGCAAAATATGTATTCTTTTTGAATTATAACGCATGTATTTCAACTACTAAATGTTAGCACGACAAGAAATAAATATAAAAAATATAAATAATTATTATATTTTTTAAAAGTTTTTCTACAGATCTTCATGGATATCTAAAACGTAATTCTTTTTTAAAATAGTTTCGTTATCATCCGCTCAGAATAATCACCGTTATTAAATTTAAAAAAAATTAAACCTAGCTCCAAAAAATAAACCCTAGATCCACTATTTCTGGATTATAATGGTTCATTAATGAAGGTAAATAATCAAAACGGCGTATCTGTAACTTTCATATTTAAATGATATGATAGAGTTCAGGAAGAATAAACAGCCTACTGAATCGACAGCTAAATATAGAAACCATCAACTTCTTGATGGGCTTTTCTTTCAAGTTATAAGACATGTTTCTATATTTATCACTGTTTACATCGATGGAATCTATCGATTGATTGTTAGCGATTTAAGCTGAAATAATTATAATTGTAAACAATTTTATTCAACTAAATTAGTTATGTAAGAAACTATCATTTATCAAACAGTTATTGAACACTATTATATAATTAATTCTATATTTTAAGATATAATTTCTTTGAAAAATATTTCTAAAAATGATTAAGTATTCTGACGGACTATAAATGTACGACTTGCAGGAATCCAACGAAAGCTTGACACTTCTGTAAGCTTACAAAACGCTGAAAAAATAAGGGGAAATACTTTCCTACCACATTTAATTTTCAAACAGAAATATGGATAGAAAGTATGTTGAATATAAATATGTATAGAAAATTGAGAAAGAACACTAGTGAGTTCATAATAAGGTTAAATCCGTCGATGTCAAAAGCCGATGGCACCGCTGAGCCACCGGTGATTCAATCGATTTATAAAAGATTGTATTGAATTTTATCGATGCGTTTAATAATTGTCTGATGGATGTCCTATGGTATAAATAAACTCAGCGCTTAGTTTAAGAACTCGTTCAAATTGTTTACCTAGTCAATATTAATTCAAAGCTTTCTGATTGCAATAATATTAAATCCAACATTTTGAATTATTCACTAAGAATATAAAATCAATTTTTTATACATTAAAAGTTTGTATTCTATTTACTTTAATGAAATATTTGATGTACATACTGAATTGTAAATGCTTATTCGAAAAAATGTCTATTGTATGTAAAATAATTATAAATATACTATAGAATAAGAACATAGTGATAAGTAAACAATATAGTGTTATTAAGTTATATTTACCAAATTACTTATATATTAAATGGTTATACCTGCAAACTAATACAAAATAGTTGTAGAGTCTGAAAATCATTAAATTAGTTGTAAATTTAAAAAGAAATCAATTGAAAATTTTTCAAGAATTGTCATGCAATATAAATTAAAAATGCAAAACTTACAGATGAATGTTCTAATTGTGGTATTGTTTCTTGAACTTCTCTATCCGCTTCAAAACAAGCAGATTTCGAAACGGATTTAAATTATACCCTATTCTAATACTGAATAAACTTTAGCAAATAATTTTTATCAAATTTATAACACTTCTCACATATTTAAACTAAAACAAACCGATGCAGAGCGTACACTGTTGAGCTGTGACAGATGCCAACTTGATTAGAAGAATACTGCAATCTGATTGGCCGTGATTTAGCGCCTTTCAACCTACAACAGAGAAGTAATGCAAATGTTTTTGATACGGTCTATAACAGCAGTCAATTTCAACATCTTTATGGTGAAAGGTAATATTCTATTGTTAATGTTATTATTTATTCAAGTTACTCACGATTGAACACTATTATATATATATATATATATATATATATATATATATATATATATATATATATATATATATATATATATAAAAGCTACAAAAAGTTTTTATTATCAATGTCCAAGGTCTAATTTCAGCCTGAAAAGTGAAAAGCATGCAATGTAAGATTTTTGTGTTTTTAAATGTATTGATTTTTGTTGAATAGGAAGCGATGACTAAAAAAATATAAAATTTTCTTCAGCAATTATAGTTTATCTTTATTGAAATCGGCTTTACTTGAATTGTTTTCAAGCGATAATATTATAATTAGTAACATTTATTTGGTCAATTAATATAATAAGGATCAATTTTCATAATAGAGATAGAGAAAATGTTTATTTTATTCATGTATTTTTAAAAGTGAAGTAATTTATTATAATACATCCCAGAATGTCACCTAATTTATTCACACAACCAGAGTTAAATCGCAACTTACTCCAAAATAAACTTCAACTTAATTAATATGAACATGATGCTCATTAAACAATAAAGTTTCTAAAAAAAAAAATGGGGAATTTGAAGTCCAATTGGAAATTATAAAATCGTGATTAATCTTAGATGTTATAACCATATCTTAGTTAATATGAAAGATACATATTTTATATAACATTATCTAATACATAAGCTATTTTTATTATAAATATTATTTTATTGAAATTAAAAATTATATTAAAATGAGGTTATATTCAGGGTATCCATTGACTTAAGAAACTGCTGAGTATTCGATGGTTCAATAGGTGAATAGAGAAACGTGCTGAATTGAATCGATGAGTTTAGAAACATTAATATGAATTTCTGATGCCATTGATGAGGATTAGGAATTTACACAAATTGTTGAAGAATCTTTTAGGCAGGTTCAAATACGTTAGACTTAAATAAACCCTATTTATTAATAAATGAATAAACTGTATCTATATATATATATATATATATATATATATATATATATATATATATATATATATATATATATATAAAACTAATAAAAAAACTATATATATATATATATATATATATATAGTATTTTTAAATCAAATTTTTTATCATTATTTATAACTACTTCAGGATATAATTGATATAATAAAAATGTTCCTAAACGGACATATAGACCAAGTAATATTTCAAATAAGAAAATAACAAAATGCCAAGCCCTTTCTTTAACTTAATATCCGCTCTCAGCGTCACCAGGCTAACAATCGAATTACCTATAGCAATGTTTACACTCTGTATCTGATATAATTCCAGTCAGTTCTGTACTGGCCTCGGTTCGGTTAACATTCATCTAGTTCTGTTATATTGTTTTAAAATATTTTAACAGTGATAGTTTTTTTTTTTAAATAATCAAAAAAGATTTGTTTCTAATACAGAATTCATTTCGAAATTAGTGTTTTATTGTGCTAAGTGATCAAAATGATGCTACATGGATATTGCCGAATTGGATGTTTTTGAAAAAGGTCAAGAATCCGATGTATTTAATATTTAACAAATGTGATTACGAGATTCTTTGAATAATCTTATCTGATGTATATAAGTATATAAAAAATTATTTTTACACGTACAATATTCATTAAAATAACAGTTTAAAAAGTATAAATAATAATAATGATGACATAATCCTAATTTTTTTAAAATTTTTTAAAATTACAGAATTAATTTATTTTATAAATAATTTCGTTACTAGTTCCCTCTCGCTTCTCTAAAATACTGATCTCTTTCAAGATCACTTAGGATCTTGAATATACTATATATTTTATTATTGAAAGTATTTTCTCCTTATGTTCCCTTACTCTAGCATTTTATGTTGAAGGCAAAGGAGTTATATCAAATTATTATTTTTTTTTTTTTTGCAGAAGCCAATTTCCTTAAAATTTATTATGTTATTTCAAATATTTATGAATTGGAAAAGTAAGAGTATAACCTAAACAGATTGTCGATATTCGGCTACTTTCGGCATTCTTCGGAAATCGCAATACTGTGCTCTGGGTGATCTTGAAACCAAAAAGTACGAAGATGAAAGTTCTCATCTTTAAATAATAATTATGTAATTAATAATTAATTTTAATGCTTATATGAATAAGTATGACAATATTAAAGTATCAGAAAAATATACAAATCATAATGTTTTTATTTTATTGGGATTATTTAAATAAATTTGATTCTAATTTTCTACACTTCATATTGAATTATATTTAAACCATATAATAGTTGAATGATTAAAAAACAAAAGTTGAAGAATAAAATTTTTATAACCTACTCCAATACTGAATAAGAAACTTATTCAGAAAATTTAATTTAGCAATTATATCTTATTGTGAAATAACTAAGTGTCCGTCTTTTAATGAAATTAACGTTATTTTATAATTTGTTGAAATATTAAATCGTTTTAAGTTGATAATTTTTTTTAATATTTAAAATATCGATAAAATGTAGATAGAGTCTCAAGTAGAATGGAGAACCAAGTAAATTAAAATTTAAATAATTATAATATTGCATTAATCTGTAGCATACTATACCGATATCAAAATAATTGTTAAAAGCTTTAAAAAAACATTGAAAAGCTAAATTAATTCATGCCTTATACAATAAGGTGCAATAGAAATATTACAATTTAAAAATTCAAAAATATTTAAACAATTAGAACTTCTTATAACATAACTACATGTTAATGATTTAATTATTTTAATATAATTTTTAAATTGGTTAAAACACAATGTAAATATATTTTAAAAGGTGCGATATATATATTATTTAATGTTATCTGATACATCATTTTTTTTTTTAAATAATAGTACATAAAAAATAAACGCTTCCATTATAATTTTGAATTATATATATCCAGTGTTTAAACGTGAGTAATTTAAGTAAAAAATAACATTAATATTAATAAAATAAGTGTCAATAAAATATCTGTAAAACATGTTGAAACTGACCTTCGTTATAAACCGTAGTAACTTGGATATTTGCAATATTTCACTGACTGCGTCTAGGTCAGAAATGGCGCTAAATCTCGGCCAATCAGAATTCTTCTGATCAAGTTGGCATCTGTCACAGCTGAACAGTTCACATCTTCTGTCTCTGTAATAATTAGTCTAGCTTTGGCGCCATTCGGTTTGCACCGGTTTCTTTTAGTTTAAATATGTGAGAAGTGTTACAAATGTGATAAAAATCATTTGTTTAAGTTTATTAAATAAATAAATAGTGCATAATTTGAATTCGTTTAGAAATATTGCAGTTTTGAAACGGATAATGAAGTTGAAGAAAGAACACTATATTATAACACCAAACTGTGAGTTTTGAATTTTATTCTTGTTCTTCATGGCGATTCTTAATTATCTTTGGATATGTTGGAGTGTTTTCTTTTCTAGAATAGCATAGAATAGAAAAATAATTTTATTCTGGGACACAGTCCCTTGAGAATAACAAAATAGAACAAAATAAAAAGATTACATCTGGCCAAAATAAAATCAATCGAAAAAAGATTTCTACAATGTATAACTTATTTTATGATTTTAATTCTTAATTACTGTATTTAAGCGGTTATTATATAATTAAATTAGTTGAAATACAAAATGTTCTTATTATATTATATATATATATATATATATATATATATATATATATATATATATATATATATATATATATATATATATTTGTTTTACTTATATTAGATTCAATTTCCAATAAAAACAACATTTATAATTCAGTAATTAATTCAGATATTTCATAAGATTAAAACAAAAAAGTATAAAGTACTGGAAATCGACTTTTAAAAATATTTTTAGTCGAAAAATTCGAAATTTTAGAATTAATATATTGCAATGTGCATGCTTTTAAATAATATTAACTCGGTAAATTAAATATTTAAAAAGGGATTCCCTTCGTAAAGATGGCGGCTTTTATATTAAGCAACCAATCGAGTAGGCTTTGCATTTCTCACTGAACATTAATTTTTTACTAAATGTTAATATTTCTGAAACGTTCATTGAAAACTCTCTTTAAATGAATATTTTACAGATAATAGATTATTTTCTTAAGAAAATAAAATTTAAATTTATCTTCTTACTTTAAATAAATTACAATATTAAAAAAAATTAAGTCCAGTTTTCCAAAATTCCAAAAAGAGTTCCTAGAATTCTTCAAAAATTGTTAAAAAAAATTAAAACAATTAGTTTTTAACTATAATATAATAAGATAGTTCGATTTTAAAGAGTATTAGGTAACAACTAAGAATAGCTAAGTTAAGAAGCCACCAACTTCACAGTGGAAATTTCCATTGCATTAAATAAAGCTCATTTTACACAGTAATAAAACCGCATAAAGCACGATCGTGTAAAGGGGTTGTTTTTCTTGGTTTGCGAAGGTTTCTTTGTATTCAATAATTATGTGATTTAAATATTAGTTTGGGTAAGTTTTTCAATGCAGTGTTGAACTCATCGATGCCATTGTAAATCTACTAGGACATCGATAACCTCATCGATAAAAATGTTTCCGTCACTAAATTCATCGATTAAATCACCAATGGCACATCAGTTTCAAGTGGGATCGATGGGTCCGCTGGATGTAACAACATTATTACTTCTCAATTTACTTTATATTTATATAAGTACTACAAAAAATACAATAGGCAGACAATTCCTTATTTTCCCTTTATTTATAACCTACCAGGAGTATTAACCTTCCGCTAGATTCCAGCATATTGTTCCAAGCACAAATCTTT